TTATCGATGTTTGTGTAGTGTATGAGCTGCTTATCACTTTTTGCGATTTCTATACATCTAAAGTAGCAATAATTTTATTGCAATCAACTTCCTTTATTAAAATAATTATAATTTACAATACAGTATATTATTATTATTAATTATGGTTCTAAGAACTAACAAGTAAACAATACTAAAATCTATAGAATATATTATGGCGCATTATTCATTAAGCAATACGTGTTGCTATCTACAGACCGGTTGAGGTTTTTGTTTCTGTTTGGAAATATCAGCTATTTTTATATTTTTCGTGAATATTCTAGATCTAAGCATACCTCACCCTACCCCCATGATGAACGACATCGATACCGCGCGGTACGATATGACCGACGAGTGACCAATGCGTATTTAGTATTTACTATTGTACTATCTAATATAATATTAATATATTATTGTTTATACACATTGCTGAAAATCCAACGTATTTATTAACAGATGATGTGGTGACAAAATATTTTATTTGGTCAAATATCAATAACTGTTTAATAGTTGCCGACATTTTTGTTTGCGGTTTCAATGAAATGTTACACAATAGTGATACTGATCCTACTTGTGTAACAGAAATATTAAAAAATGCTTTAACTAAACCTACGCAATGTGATACTTATATCACGGAATTTAAAAAAGAATTATGGTACCCATCGTTTTTCAAAAATAATTGGTACTTTGTGTGTGAAAAGCCTACAACAATTACAATAATTTGTAATAATCGATCTTTTATTCGTAAAATTACATTGAAAAGTTCTGGAAAATTATTTTTGAAAGGTGGGTGTCAAGCTCATACTACTAAAGGCGTATTAATAACAGAGCAAACAGTAGAATCGTCTTTTGCAACACTACCTTTAGATTTAAGTATTTTAAATGATTCATGTTGCAATATTACACTTAATCAACGTTATCCAAAACCCATTCATTTAGATGAAATAAAAAATTTAAAATTCGACAAAGAAGCTTTCATAAAAATTATTTCAAAGTTAAATACACAAGATGAATTACTAAATTCAATATTATTAAATAAGACATATGAATTTGTATATACAAACAAATATTTAATCATTACAATAGTTATTATAATATTATACGCGAGTATAAAATTCTGTATTAAAAAAAAAAAAAAAAAATTCAGCTTTGGAAAATATAAATTTAGGTTATTGTCCTGTGCCCATTGCTCCACCAAAACAATAAACTTTACTTTGTAATTTATAATTATATTTTATACATGTCAATTTAAATCTCATACTTATACATTTTTTCATACTAATAGTAGTTGTTATACTTTATTTTTAAGAATACATATTTTATTTTATCTACGCATTTGTTAAATATAGGGTTTTTCAATAAGGACGCTCGATGTTTCATAGTGAAAAAAACAAGTTGTGTGTGAGATATATACTTAATTTTTATTTCATTTTAAAGAACGTTATATGGCAATTATTTATGGAATATAACATCTTTCAAATGTCCGCCTCGGCTTTGATTGGTGGCACGTATTCGGGTGGTCCAATTTTCTATCACTTTGTTGCATAAATCTGGTTGAATTTGCTTGATGGTGTTGATTATGTTGACTTTGAGGGCATAAATTGATTGTTGTTTATTTGCATGGACATGCGATTTAAGATAGCCCCAAAGAAAAAAGTCTAATGGCGTTAAATCGCACGATCTCGGAGGCCAGTTTATGTCACCATTGCGTGATATCACCATGCCCTCAAATCGTTCACGCAGAATGTCCATCGTTGCACGCGCCGTGTGACACGTAGCACCATCCTGCTGGAACCACATGTCCTCAGTATCCATATCATAGAGCTTAGGCCAAAAAAAGTTGTTGATCATTGATCTGTAGCGCTCACCGTTGACGGTTATGGCAATGCCTGTTTCGTTTTGGAAGAAGTACGGACCAATGATTCCGCCAGACCAAAATCCGCACCAAACAGTGATCTCTTCTGGATGCATTTTGTTTTTTTGTGTCTTGTGTGGATTGGTATCATCCCAAATCCGACAATTTTGTTTGTTAACGTATCCATTCATCCAAAAATGGGCCTCGTCGCTAAAGATTATTTTTTTAGCGAAGTTTGGATCAACTGCTAACTGCCCCAGAACCCAATCAGCGAATACACGACGTTGTGTATGGTCGTTTACCTTGAGTCCTTGTGTTAGTTGGATTTCATACGGGTGCAGACCCAAGTCTCGACGCAAAATTCGAGGATAAAAATCGAGTAATGCGCGGAAAGTTTCACTAACGGAGCACTGATTTTGGTAATAAAATTTAATTATACGCACACGTTGTTCTACGCTATAACCGTTCATGGTGATTTGCCATACGGTACTGAACAATTCACAAAAATTATGCAGATAAGGCTTTAATGACATTCCCGATATATCCGATCAAAGTTCGAGCGCCTCTATTGAAAAACCCGTTATAAGTATTAGGAATTTAAGTTATGATTTATGTGTATTTAATATATTAATTTATAGTTATTTGTACAGTTACTAATTATATAATAAATTATTACAATATGAAATTTCGTTCGTAAATCGTAATAATTAAATATTTGTAATTTGTGTACAATACTTACAATAAAATGTTATAACATTTGAATTAATTTAATTTTTTAATTTTACATAATTATTCTGACTCCATAGTTCATATTTTAATTATTGTAATAATAATGTATTCATTAAAACGATTATAATATAATTATTATATGACATTTAATTTGTAATAATTGTCACATAATAATTGTTACAATGGAATTTAATTTAGATTTTTTTCTTATATTATTATCAATTATTCCGATATCGTAATAATTAGTTTTTTTTATCATACCCAAATAGTTTGATAATTCAAGTAATACGGCTTATTGAAGTTTACAGCAAAACTACCTATTATAAAAATTGTAGAGAAGAATTTTTTTAACAATCGTAAGAAGCCCGTTTTTCGATATTTTTATTAATTAGTTGAATAATTAAAGGATAAAAAGTTAAAAACCGTGTTAATTTACCATGTGATATTGGACGATTAGAATACGATATCAAAAAACCGATTTCTTACGATTGTTAAAAAAATTCTCCTCTACAATTTTTATAATAGGTAGTTTTGTTGTAAGCCGCTTCAATACGCCGTATTACTTGAAGAACAAAAGTATAGTTTTTATTTGTATAAAATTCGGATACGAATAGAAAATATAAAACCGAACAAAATTGAATAATGTTTGTCACTATATCTTATAAGGAATCTTGTGTTTCATTTTCAAATTTTAGATATAAAAAGAAAAATTTTTACGAATTCTTAACTCAAAATAATTTGCTAATTTTCGTGATTTTTCCATATTTTGTCAATTTTTGAACTTTAAATGCTTATAAAAAAAAATTGTGACTAAGGATTTTTAATATTTTTCATCTGCCATTGAAACAATATATTAGGAGCCTTCTATTAAATTTTCAAGTTTTTGCAACCAACAAATAAAATTTTATTGGTATTTTTAGAAAAAAACTAAAAAAAAATGGAAAATGAAAATGTCCCTAAACAGTTCAAAATAAATCAAAATATTTTGAAAATGTTATCGTGTATAGAAAATGCAAATATAAACAACCAGTGAAAATTTCATGTATATACGTTCATTTGTTTTAGAGTTATACCAATAACCAAAATCGATTTTTTGGAAAACCAATTTTGCGTAAAAACTCCCGTTTTTCCTTAATTTGTATGTTGTTTTTCCCGGCCCTTGTTAAAACTACTGTGAAATTTATACTTTTGACCCCCCAAAGTACCAACTAGATTCACTTTCCTATCAGAAAAGCTACTGATGAAGAAAATCCAAGCTTTTTTACTGCCCTAAACCGTGATGACAGACACAAAAAAAAATAAAAATAAAAAATATAAAAAAATATAAAAACACACATCATTGTAAAACCAATACATTCATCGCTCCGCTC